TTCACTCTGAATTCTAGAGCTGTTTACAGGGCTGGCTCTGAGGACAAGGGCTGACAGAGAGCAAGGGTTTGATCTCTCTGTGTGGAGTGTAAGCATGTGTGGGAACTGTGGTGTGGACTGTCAAATTTCCTAATATTTTAAACCGATCCTTTTTCATAAGCAATTTTGTACAAAAACCCATTGTAGAAAAATTCAAGTTGAAGTTGAAGAAGAAAGCTCCATACATCAGTCTTCTTGCCAGGGACGGTCCCTCTCCCAGCTCTACAAGAAACTTAGAGCTTCATCAAATTCAGTTTGAAAACTATTGCTTTATCAAGAAGCTGAGGAAATCTAAAAATGTAGTAATAAAGGAAAAAATCCCCCAATCATTTAGTCTGCTGTATAATGACTCTGAAAGAATGACTCATATATTCAAGGAAAAACCCAAAGTTGTATAAAATAAGAACTGCTACAATTATACAGGATAGCTACAATAAAACTTGATTTTACTTTTCTTACAAAGATTCATTTGGGAAACAATTTGCTACTGCAAGCACCTCAAATGGTCCATTCTCCATCTTCTGACGCGACGCTGTGCCTACAGTTGTTGATGAGAGGTGCTCTCGAGCTCCAGCTTCCAGTGACCCCCCCTGCCCCGTCCGGCACAACAGAACAAAGCCAGGCAGTCCGCGCCAGTCCCACTTGGCTGTGATGTGAGATCCCCCAGTGGGGTCACTGGGTCAGCAAATCTTCTTGAGGGGCTTCCTCTTTTTGGCTGCCCCTCTACCAAGCACGACGTCCTTCTCCACAACATCTCCAAAGTATGTGAGACAAAGTCATGCCATCCTTGCTGCTAAAAAGCTGTGCTTTTTCCAAGACAGATTTGTTTGTTCTTTTGGCAGCACACCTCACTTCAAATGCGTGCATTCTTCTCTATCGTCCTTAGTCAAGGTCCACGTCCACAGACATTTGAGGTTTTTCAAAATACCATGAAAACACCTAATGTAGGTATCACTAATCAACATTATGACTAGCAACGCTCTCGTCTGTCATGACCGCTCTTGTATTTATAGGTATGCTTTTATCTTGGAATTTCCTTTTCTGAAAATATGATCTCTTTAATTGAAGTACAACGTTTTACCAATAATGACCCGCTTTGATTCTTCTTTGAAAAGCATTTTAGGAACAAATCAAATAAAGTCTAATAGGTAGAACAAAGATCTTACTTCATCAGCAAGTTTTCGGTTAAAAATCCTCGACTCTTCCAATGGTGACCAGATCTTTATGTCATAATCTATACCAGATGAGGCTAGAACTAGAAATAGAATTTCATGTTAATTTAAATCGCTCTCGCTATACATAACACACACGCACCCCTATTCTATACAACAAACAAATGCACCGACAGAGCTGGCTGTTGATTGAGATGGTGATGGTGATGGTCCCTAAATGCTACCTTGGGATGTAATCTTAAGACCTTCTTTTGTAGTCAGTGCCCTGTTCGGAGCGAAATAGGAAATCCCAAGGACAAATCAGGAGAAAGCACATGCTTTTCTTCTGGAAAATCCATCTATATGTTTAGGAATGAAAGGGCTTGGGGGTTCCGTCTGTGTATAAGTAGTGCAGCATTTAGTCATGCGGAACCTCTCACGACTGATAAACTTAGATGAAATATTCAGAATAAACTCTTTGACCCATTTCCTTATACTTTCTATCACAAGGAGGTAATAGGTGTTTTGCTTGTTTCAAATCCAAGTAGGGCTATAATTGTCGCTCCTGTCTTCAATAGGGCAATCTAGATTAGTCTCATGAGCCTGAGGGGCTTCTAAAAGTTGGTGGAAATTTTTCGTTTTCAACAAATATTTTCATTCACTATTGAATTAATAACTAGAAAATAAATTGAATTGATAAATCCTATGAATAATTTCAATCTCTCGCCTACAAAAGGTCATCTTACTTGGGTCAAACGGATGTGGCTGCAGGCAGTTCACCACATGATTATCAGCTTCCAGGAGCATCAAATGCTCAGCCGTGTGCCGGTCCCAGATGAAGATATGGCCACAGTCAGAGCCACTCATCACAAAGTTGGTACCCCAGAAATTGGCTTCTTTTATCTAAACATTGAAGAAAATACGTTTCAAGAAAATTCAAATCAAGTTATAAATGCTAATGTTATTCTTGAGTTAAGAAAAAAAAATCTAGCCTAGAGAATGAAAAAAGAAAAATTGAAGCGTCTTTGCCGCCTTGTGTCTTAAAATCATGGCAGAGAGCCATCAGCGGTAGTCCGTGTGGCAGGGAGCAGTGCTAGGAGCTCTTTGAGGACAGAGATCTTGCTTTAGCCAATGCTCTACTTGTAGCACTGGAAACCGGATGTGGCACACAGTAGATAATTGATTAATTACTAACTCTGGAATGAGTAAGTAGGCTTTATGAGTTCTGGATAGCATAAGGAAAATTTACACACGAGGGTGAGCTTTCCAAAGTCTGACCTTTATAGCTTTCCAAAATACTGATCTTTTCATTAGCCATTAGGGGCTTTATAATTGGGAAGGAAAGACACAACAGTTTCTCTCACGAAGCAGTGGGACCAAGGGAACAGGACATACTGGAATGGTCATGGTGACACTTACGGACCAAGGGCCCCTTTGTCCTTCAGGGCAGGATTTTTTGCATCAGTTCATCTGCAGTTACTTTTGGTGCTTATCTCAAAAGAGCTTTTTTTGGTTGTTATTTGGAGCAACTGTTTAATCTACCTTCTTCCTTTTTAATTTTTCACCTTTTAAGTACTTTTATCCAAAATTTTAACCAGCAAGATGCAAGAAATGTAAATCAGTTATATCTATGTAACATTCTTTAAAAATTACAATGAAATTATCATAGCATGTGAGCTTTGTAAGGAAAGAAATGATTTCCCCCACCCTTAAATCAGTTTTTGTGTAATCCCGGAAGAAAAAAAGATTTGGAAGATACTTTATAATAACTCAATAAATACATGAAGAGTACACTTTGTGGAAATAAATGTTCAGAATAGCTGTAACATACTGCACTCCAAGCAAGATTCCCACAGTAAATAATAACATTGGGTTATGGACTTGTGGACTGTCACAGCTAAAGGGGGTCTTAGAGATCATGTGGCCTTTTTCTCATTTCATAGATGATGAAACTAAAGCCAAGGGACAGAAAGTGATTACAACAAAAGTTCACTTATCAAACTGCAATTAAATTATACTAGCTATCTGCCTATACTTTCCAAATAAACCTGAATATCATAAATCCAAATCTCTCTCTCCAAAATGAACAAAGCATGCTAAAAAAATACTCATGAAAAATTTTCAAGTAAAAAGTATTACAGAGCAAATGAGAATAGTTAATTGTAAAAGTTAAAACAAAACAAAAATAACTCCAATATAATTTCCTCATAAGAAGGGTATCTCTCATGGTAGACTGTAGGACTTAAACAACCATGCTTAGATCTAGATGTAAGCGTGAGAGTGCGATAATGCGATATTGAAATCATGCATAAGATTATCATCATGGCAAAAACAACATATTCTAACACTACAATTTCTCCAAAGAACAGCATGAGCATTTTGTACCATTGTCCTGGAGTTGCGATGACCCTTGTACACCATCTTTACTAGTGGCCTTCTGATGTTCAAAGTATCTAATTCTTCCATTTCTTTTCTTTCTTTTCTCCGCCTGAAGAACTCTTGAATGCGGGCAACAGCAGAGCGTCTATGAGTTACATATTAAAATAGAAACAAAAATCAGAAAACTCACAGGCCAGTACAGTGTGACCATGAGAACCATTAAAATAAAAGTCTACAAATTACACACATTTTAATAAAGCATCCTCAACCAAATGCATAAAACGGCAGTCACAACAGTGAAACGACATCAGACTAGTTGAGTTACTAAAATGAAAGGTTTTAGTTGAAGAGCGCGCTGAGGAATTTGACACTGGTTGAGAAAGTAAAGGAAATAGCATGCAGCACACTGTTTTTTTACAGGGTGTTTTATAGAAACAAAACCCAGATATAAAACTAATGTGCAATTTACTGTGAATAAAACAAATCAGATTCTAGTTCTTTCTCCTCCTCCCCTCAACCATAGAAAGCAACACCTTCTAGCGGTTCTCAACCTGGGGGTCACGACCCCTTGGGGGGGGGGGAAGAGGGTGTCGCCTAAGACTATATTTCTGATGGTCTTTGGAACTGAGATACCGCTCCTCTATCCGTCTCCAGGTGGGTCCGCCCACAAGCAGATACACCCACTCAGAGGTGACCCAACATGAGGAACTGTATTAAAATGTCGGGGCATTAGGACGGTTGAGAACCACTGGTCTAAGGAGAAACGAAAGGAAACTGAGGATGACATATGAGGGGTACCCCCAACAAAACTGTGTTTTTTTTTTCAAAGCTAAGTATTTAAATTTTTTTTACAAAACAACCTTATCACCTTCAAAGTGCTTTCCATTACACTTAATACATTTGTCAAATCTGCAATTCCATTCATGGAAACATTTTTCAAACTCATCTGTTTGGATGGCTGACTGTCTTCACCTCTCCCACATTGTCACATCACTATCCTTTCATGTTCCTCTTTATTTGTGGAGCCAAAAAAAAAAGTTGTACAGAGCCAGGTCAGTTGAGTCAGGTGCGTGGGCAAGAGAGACATGCTGTTTTCTACCAAAAATTGGCGCACTGAAATGGCTGCATGAGCAGGTGCATGCACTGTCGTGGTGGCAAAACCAGTCCCCAGTCTGCCACAATTCAGGCCTTACTTGTTGCACACTGTTAAACACATCTTTTCAGAACCTCTAAATAAAAAGCTTACCAGTCCAACCTGGTGGAACAAACTCCAAATGCACGACAGAGCTGATATTTTCGTCCATTCGGGAAGTTGACAAGTGTCCAAAAGGAGGTTTGTCATCAATTGACATTTCACCTTTTTTGAAATAAGAAAACCACTTGCACACTTGAGTTTTTCCCTATAGGGCTATCCTTGTAAGCTGTGTACAACATCACAACAGCTTCTGTGGCATTTTTCCCAGGAAGGAAACATAATCTCACAGCTGGACACTGTCCTCTTAAATCAGCCATCATAAAAAACAAGGTTCAAGCGAAACGGCTTTTACGAAAAAAGGCACGGTGGCCAGAGAGAACCTTTCCCAGGTGCCCCCACTGGATGCATTAACTCCGAGCAAGTTGCTTGATGCTCGCCTAGTGGGAAATGCATACCCATGAAAGCTCCACCCAGCGGAGCCTTTTCCATTTTGGTGTTGTTTTTTTTAGTATCCCCTTGTATAATACCAGTGAAAACATTAATTTTCCAGATTTTATTTAAAACCCCACTTAAACATATTTCAAACCAAGAACAAAGTAGTCTAGATAAAGAGAATAATAACATGTAAGCAGTAAAACAAAGGCTCTCAAATACTATCTTCTACATATGCATTCCATACTGGAGGACGGCTGATGGCAGACTTTATTCTCCTTAGAAATGAGCTGGGGATTGAAGAACGGCCTCTTTTCAAGACTTAACAACTTGACTTAACTAGAAGAAATTTCCAACACATGAAACTACTTTACAATCTGAATAATTTTAATTTATTATTTAAAATAGTATATTTTTGACATATAACAGAACTCAAATCCACAATACATAAAAAGCCTACAAATCATTAAGAAAAACAACTCTTAAAACAAAAAGCATTAGGCCAAGGAGGGAAATGACATGAACTCCAAATAAGTACATGAAAGGTGTTCAGTCTTGTTAAAACAACAAACTATGTCTGTTTAGGCGTTTGAAAGTGGTTCTACATATAAACAGGAAGTGCACTGTTTTATTGTACACTTTTCACTAACGCAGAACACACATTTAGGAAGGAGAAAATAGCTGAATTTTCACAAATAGAACAAAGAATATGCCCATGTGACTGTGACTAGCCCCCAAATAGAGAAACAGCGCATGCTGAGAAATCCCCATTCTCCTCCTGTCCCACCCTTACCGATAACCACAGTGCTGAATTCTAACAGCAAGGATGTTGTCTGGCTGGGCATTTTAAATAAATGAAGCAATACAACATATAGTCTTTGCTGCAGAGAACTTTAGCTTCTGAGCTTGATGGCCGATTGATTACCTTCAAACCTTTAAGACCCCAGACG